TCTTTCCCCCATGGATCACCTCACCCTCCAACTCCACCTGACCAAAGCTCACTCATCGATGGTCCAGACTCAGCCCAAACCCACACCTCTCTGCTCTGCTCCAGGGACTCTGGGCGAACCCGTGGGTTGTACAGCTAATTGTCAGTGTTGTTTGTACAAATATAACAGCACTTTGCACGCTTTGTGCGTATCCTTCTATCAAAAGTACCTGCGTCTGGGGACCAGCAGATGGCTAGTGGCTATGCTGCTGGACTCCCACATGGCTGACCCTGGTTAAAGTCGTGGATCCAGCAGCTTGAAACACGCTGGACTGCTTGCATGTGTGCCCAAGATCCTGAGAGAGACTGGAGGAGAAGGGACTGAGGCCTGGCCATCCCCCTAGGGGGTGAATTCCCGCTTTCAGTCTCTCTGGTGTGCGCATGTGCCCTATAGCAAAAATCTCTCTTAAAAGTCTCCGTGTCTGTCCTCAGAATTCACTGCTTAAAAAGCAGAATCAGTTCTTTTTGTGTCTCATATACCAAAATTCTTTACAGATCTGCCTTGCATGCATTATTAAATTTGAAATCTATCCTGCAATCTGCTGAACAGCATTTAACACAGAATATGTCAAAACTCACAGCTCCATGAGCCAACTGAGTATTATCAGGCTACGCCAGCCTTCTCCAATCCTACCCTAACCTCAATTTCCACACGCTATTACTAATCACATAAAAGAGCTCAAGAGCGTACTAAAATAACATTTCACCTGCCACCTACCTATAAACTGTCACTACTCAGCTGGGCGGGCTGAGTCAGGGGAGGCCACTTTCTGAATCATCTGCACCACTTCCTGCTCTGGACTTCTCCGAGTGAGTGAACCATCCAAGAAGGGTCAAGACTAAGTAAACTCCATGTTCAGAAACCGAATGTGTCTAAAACCCCAGAAGGTCTGGCCACGTTGGTCTCACTGAGGGATCTTTTGCTACAGAATGCATACCTGAGTTGGGGTAGAGGCAAACGTCATTCAGGTCATGTTCTGGCTCTAAGGAAGTGAATATTTTCCCCTAAAATAACAAGAAAAAAATGCATGATTAGACCATGACTGAAGAAGGTTCACATGGTGGTTAAGGGTACTCGCTGGAACCCCACAGGGCCAGCTGTGGTTTGAGTCCCAGACCTGGTGGCTTTCTCACTCGCTCTTTCTCTCTCCGCCCCCCAGGTCAAATTAAAATAAATGAATAAATGAAGTTAAATAAAATTATTATTTTTTAAAAAGAATATAACATGGGAACCAGCAGTTAGAGTAATGTCGCTCGACTCCCACAGTCGACCGTGGTTCGTGTCCCGGACCCGGTGGCTTAGAACTCACGCCAGGCACATGTGCATGCGTGCCCAAGATCCCGAGAGGAGAATGGAGGAGAAGGGATTGCGGCGTGACCATCCCCCCTGGGGGGTGATTTCTCACTTTCTGTCTGTCTCTCTGGCGAGCGCACGCACCCTATAGCAAAAACCTCTCCAAAAAAAAAAAAAAAGAATATAACATGAAGATAACTTTGGCAAAATCCATAAAGAAAATAAGCTGAAGACCTAACTCAACCACTTAGTGCTACATAAAGGAAATAACCTAATTGAAATCATAGAATTCAAATTCGAAAGGTCTTAGGGACTTCATCTTGTTAAAATGTATCAAAAATGGGGTCCGCGGGTGGCGTGGTGGCTGAGGCTGGACTCTCACATGGCTGACCTCAGTTTGAGTCTTGGACTTGGCGGCTTGCTTTCTCACTTGCCCTCTCTCTCCCTCTCTCTCTTTCTTGCTCTGTCCCTCTGTGGTCAAATTAAAAAATAAGTAAATAAAAAATAAACTTAAATAAAATAATTCTCTAAAAATAAAAATAAAGTTGTCAAATGCTCTCATTTTAGAGTTAAAGGGACTGAGGCCCAAGGAGAAGAGGTGACTTGTCCAAAAAAAATTTTTTTTATAACATGTCACTTGGGACGAGCAGATGATGTAAGGCTACATCACTGGATCTCCATGTAGTCAACCGCAGTTCGAGTCCCGGACCCGGTGGCTTAAACTCACGTTGGGCACGTGTGCATGCGTGCCCAAGATCCCAGGAGGAGAGTGGAGGAGAAGGGATTGAGGTGTGGCCATCCACCCATGGGGGTGATTTCTTACTTTCTGTCTCTCTGTCTCTCTCTCTCTCTCATGAGTGCACACACCCTATAGCACAAACCTCTCCCCCCCCAAAAAAAAAAAAAAAGAAAGCCACCAAAAAATAAAAACTCATATAATCTGTGAGATGGCAATGTATCCTATACTCAAAAAAACCCAAAGGAGGTGTGGCCAGCCCGGTAAGAAGTAAGGACAGCACTGCCATGGCCGCGCCAGGGGGCCAGGTCAGACGATGACCGTAAAACACCGAGGAGGGTGGAGGCTGGGCGGTGCGCAGTGAGTGCTACGCTCTGCCAGGCAGCCGTGCAGGGAGGCTCCGGGCTTGCCTGTGGGGACCTGAGCACGCCGGGCACACATGGCTGGCCACCACAGGGAGGGGGGGGGTCCCTGTGGTGCCAGCACCCCGACCCTGCAGGGGCACCGTACCCGTCTCGCTCTGTTTCGTTCATGAATTAATAAACAGACATTTTAAAAAGGAGCCGGATGGTGGCAAAGCAGTATGGCACAATGCTCTGCACAGTAATCCCATGTGGGAAGGCGACAGTTCGAGTCCGGAGACCTCCCTGAGCGCGGCAGGCACAAGCATGCCCAGGAGCCAGGGCAGCCGAGTGCTGAGCATGGGCTGCAGCATCAGGACCCGTGGGCGGTGCTGTCTCTCTCTCTTTCCTTCTCTCAGTCTCTGTCCCTCTCACTCATGGAAGAAATAAAGAAACTTACAAATACGAAATGGAAGCCTATGCGTATACATGGTGTTGGTACTATACAGTTAAGGCAAAACCTTTCTGTTTTAAATACAGGGAAGCTGCACTTTATCTTCAGATATGAAGAGAAGGAAAGTAAAAGGAGAAGAGATGAGAAGGTAGGCGTAGAGACTCACAATGAAAGATAAACAAGGCGAGCGAGTCGAGCAAAACCAAGCAATTTGGGTATTAGTCAAGGGGATGCATTTAGTCACAGGAAACCAAAAAGCTGAAGTAAAATTTGTTGTAGCAATTATCGTGTGATGATTTCAAGTAGTGGTGGTGAACATTTCTGCCAGCTCTTGCATTTATAACTTGTAATCACCAGACTGGAGAGCTCCCACAGCAAGAGGGACAGGAAGGTGACTTCCTGCTTGATAAAAATAAGCAGCCTAATTCTTCTTTTCTTTTTAATTTGCTAGAGGGAACAAAGACTCACCAGAGAGAGAGACACAGAGCAAAAGAAAGAGACAGAAGTTGAGAAGCACCCCCCTTGGGAGTGGCCATGCCACAGTCCCTTCTCCAGTTCTCCCCACTGTCGGGATTTTGGGCACGCACGCACACACACACACACACACACACACACACTCACATGCACCTGGCATGTTTTTCAGGCTGCTGGATCTGGGACTTGAACCATATAGTAGGCCATGTGAGATCCAGCTGTCTTCACCACCACACTACCAGCTGGCTCCAACCACAGCCAAATTCTACCTCAAGACAAACAAGGAAATTCACGGTTACCTCCCCTTCTCAAGTTTCCATTGAAACAGCAAAGAAAGAGGGAAGAAAAAGAAGAGCAGAAAAAGGGAACTCACAGCATGAAACAAAAAAGAAAAAGTACCACAGTTTTCAGAAATCGACATGATTAGAACTGTGCGGTAGAGAAGGGGTCTGGAAGAACCGTCCATGGAGGGAACAGTCGCTACCTCTAGGTGATGAAGCCATGCCGGGATCATGTCTACTTCGGCAGAATTTTATCAATTTTAAAAATAAAAACCAGGGCTAGCTGGAGGGATGGTGGTTGGAGTGGCTGGATCCTACACAGCCGACTGCAGAGTTCAAGACTCGGACCCGGTGGCTTGGAAAACACACTGAGCGTGTACATGCGTGCATGCCCAAAATCCCAAGAGGAGAATGGAGAAGGGATTAGGACATGCCCCAGGGGGCGTTTTCTCACCTTCCCTCTCTCCCTCTCTCTGCCTCCCTGTTTGTCTCTCTTGGTGAGCACACGCACTCTGTAGAATTTTTTTTTTTTTTGAGAGGTTTTCACTCTAGGGCGCAAGCGCTCGCCAGACAGAGACAGAGAGACAGAAAGTGAGAAATCACCCCCCAGAGGGTATGGTCACGCCGCAATCCCGTCTCCTCCATTCTCCTCTCGGGATCTTGGGCACGCACACACACGCGCCCGGCGTGAGTTTTAAGCCACCGGGTCTGGGACGCGAACCACGGTCGACTACGTGGGAGTCCAGCAACATAGCCATTATGCTAACTGCTGGTTCCCCTGTAGAAAATTCTTTAAAACTATTAAAAAAGAAAAAATAAGTATATTTGTAATCTTGAAAATATTGTTTAAACATAAATGAGTCTGAGTTGCCAGAAAAAGAACAAAGAAAATTCTGGTCTAAGGCACCATGAATCATGCTAAGAAAGTCCTTGAAACCTTCCAAATTCAAAACTAACAAAGTAGACAGCATAGCTGATTTCCCTGTGGTCACCAGAATAATTCTTCCGAGAATTTAGAAAAGTTGGAAACCCGTCCTCTTCTCCGTAACATAAACACAGTCACAAGGCTCGGTGACAAGTAGGAACTGAGAGGCACTTTGAGACAACCTTGAATTTCCAGGACAGAGAAAGGCAGGGCCAGCTCTGTGGCCTGGTAGTTGGGGCAGCCAGATCCCACATGGCCAACCTCATGGTTTGAGTCCCGGACCTGGTGCTTGACAAACATGCCAGCCATGTGGGTGACTAGCCCAAACTCTGAAAGCAGGGACAGGTGGGGAGGGGACTGTGGTCTTCATAGAGCTGTGTTCTCCTGCATAAGTGCCCAAACATCGGCAATTAACAAGAGGAAATTCAGAAAACTCCAAGGAATGGCTCAAGAAGCCAGAGATTACACCGGGCACTGCACTGTGCCGGCTGCCTCCAGCATCTGTGCCCGGCGCACAGGCGGCCCCAGGGAAAAGCCCGACACTGGCCCGCAGACGCCGGCGCCTCTGCCACGTGACTTCATTTCAAATACTGATTTTTAACAAGTAACATTTTCTTTTTTACTGTAAGTTCCTAATTACTAAATGCAAACAACTCTTAAATGCAGTTGGGATACAGCATGCATTTTCCCCATTTTTTTGATGAACTAATCTTTTACTGTTCTCTCAAAACACTTGGGTTTCGAGAGCCAGTAGGTGAAGTGGTGGTTGAGGCACTGGGCTCCCACATGGCTGGCCACCATTCAACTCCCAGACCTGGCGGCTTGCTTGCTCCCTTCCCCGCTCTCTGTCTGTCTGTTTCTGGGGAGTGCAAGTGCCCCACAGCAAATTAAAAAATAATAATAATAAGTAAAATTAAACGATTAATAAAGATTTAAAAATTCTAAAAATAAAACACTTGGGTTTTAAGTCAAAAAATGAAAAATAGAAAGTCAATCAAAACAAGCAATATAAATTTTTTTTTCTTTTTTTAAATTACCAGATTGCTTCCCAGTGAGAGACAGAGAGAAAAAGACAGAAAGGGAGAGGAAAAAAGCCCCCCTCAGTGAGATGTGGTCATGCCACCATTCCTTCTCTTTAGTTTCTCCGTCAGGACTTTGGACCCACAAGTACATGCACCCAGCACGCTAGCCAAGCCACCAGGCCCAGGCTTTGAACCATGCAGACAGCCACGTGGGATCTGGCATCCCTAGCTACCAAACCATGGCCGGCCCAGGCTTTTGCCACTTTAAATGATACTCGGTGTTGAAAGAAGAGAGTACCAAAATATTCCTAAGAAAATACTGGGCGGGGGAGGGGTTGTTTGTTTACTTGTTTAAAAACACATTCTTTTATGTATTTATCATGATTTTCAAGCCACTCGATCTGGGAGTCGAACTATGGTCAGTCATGTGGGAATTCAGAGCCTCAACCATCATGCCACCTACTGGGCCCAAGAAAATATAGCTTTTAGGAAAAATTACTGTGGGGCCTGCAGGTGGTGTGGTGGTTGGGATGCTGGACTCCCACATGGCTGACTGCAGTCTGAGTGCTAGACCCGGCAGCTCGAAAATCGTGCCGGTGCGTGTGCGTGCATGCCCCAAATCCCAGGACAAGAACGGAGGAGAAGGGACTATAATATGGCCATTCCCTCAGGAGGTGAATTCCCACTTCCCCTCTTACTCTGTCGGTCTCTAGCAAGCATACATACCCTAGGCAAAAAATCAGAAAAAAAAAAGAAAGAAAAGAAAAAGGAAGAAATTACTGTGATGGTGCTGTCTGACATGTATCTGTTTGGGGTGGGGAAAGGATGTGTAATTGAGACGTATGACACAGCTAGGGAAGACAACTAGAGGTTTATAAAAACTTTCTCTGGCCGTGAGAGAGTGGAAGAGCCGGGGGAGTACTCTTGGACTGACAGGAAACGAAGCTTTTCTGTCTACCTAACGGAACGTTTAGGGTGGATGCTAGTGCTAGCAAATACAGAAAACTTAATGAGGGGACTGGCAGGTGGCGGAGCAGTTACATGGCTGGACTCTAACATGGCCAACTATGGTTTGAGTCCCAGACCCGGTGGCTTGAAAATCACGCCGGGCACATGTGTGTGCATACCCAAGATCCTGGGAGGAGAATGGAGGAGAAGGGATTGTGGCGTGGCCATCCCCCCAGAGGGTGATTTCTCGCTTTCCCTCTGTTTCTGTCTCTCTCTCTGGCGAGCACACATGCCCTACGGCAAAAATCTCTTTTTTTTAAAAAAAGGAAAACTTAGCAAGAAGAAAGCAATCACGACTACTTTACTTAAACACGCGTGTCACTGATCTCGAAGGGACTGACTTCCCGGAGTTCCTAAAGGGATGCTCGGTGTGTATTTCTCAGGAAGCCACAGAATTCAGAAGAGCAGTGGGAAGAAAAGGAGCACTTGGAACACACGCAAAGAAGGAAGGAGGCGGCCTCGATAAAAATACGCACGGAGTTCTTATTCCACATCTTGATAATTCGAGAGTCTGCAGACAGAATCAGATCTAACGAGTCCTGGAAATGAACCGACTGGATGGGCAGCCCGTACTGGTGATCCTTCACCAGCAGCGGCTTGTCAGACCGAAGGTCGTACAGCAACACCTGAGAGACACGAAGCAACACGTCAGCTCTATTCAAACCAACTGTTTCAGCTTTAAAGAGAAAGCAAGTTAAAACGGTGGCTGCCACCAGTCTCGCTGCTGTGTGTGAGCGCATGAGCACTCTGACCCAGGGGGCTGAGGCTCTGCACGCGGCCAGCAGTACTCCCCAAAACTCGGTCTGGACAGTGGCAGGATGTAGCACTCTATGGGGCTGACCCACGTGGGAAGAGAGACACTCTCTTTAAGAAAGGAAGGCTGCTTTTTTATTGCTCTTCTTTCTTTTGTTAATTTCCTACTTCGCCTTACCCTACAGGACAGCCCCTGGCTCTCCAGCAGAGCCCAGTTCCATCTCCCCGGCCTGTGAGGGATACTGAGGCAGGGTCAGTCCCTGGCCCCAGCCCAACAGGGAGACATCCCTGAGTGTAGCAGGCACACGGGCGCCCGTGATCTGGAGCTGGCTGGGGATAGTGGGTGCTGCCTCTCCGTCTCTCCTTCGTGCTCATGAAGGGAAAAAATAAATTTAATCTTTAAGATTATCCTTAGGGTACACCATTACATGAATTCAACCCTGAGGGTGATTTTTAGGCGAGTGTGGGAACCACTGAGCTGTGTACTAAGAAGGGAGTACTGGTGAGAACAGCCCGAGGACTGGCTTCACTTGCTAATTCACCGACCCATGTTGCAGGCCTGCCGTGTCCCAGGCACTGTCACCGCAACTCACACCAACAAGGACGGGCACCAGGAGGACTGTCCCGGTGATGGCAAGGCCAGGACTGTTCAGGGTGAGAACACCCCTGTAGCTTGGCCTTGGAGGCGAGGGGTCCTGAGGAGGCTGAGTCTCAGCGCTGACGACAGGGGTGATTCTAGCAAGCTCGGAGGGGTGAGGCAGACGCCGCGGCATGTGGGCTCCACTAGCAGGAAGACGAAGGCGGGGGGCTCCTCAGACCAGCGCCGCTAAGGCACGTCCGGCCGACCGCATGCCGCCTGGGCTGCGGATAACGGTGCTGTGGGGGAAAGGGCTCCTCGGACTTTCGGCGATGGTTATTAAACTCATGTCTTGTCGGAGGAATTCTGAGCCTCCAGCATGTGCTTAAACCTGCGTTATCATCCAAGAGCAGGCATCTGATTGGCCACCGAGCTCTGATCTATACATCTTGGAAAATGCACCCAAACCACTACCCGGAGAACACGGCCTGCAGCTCCAGCTCCGCAGTAGCTCAAACCAAGCACTCAGGCCAGTCTATATCTCTCGGGGGCTTAGAGAACCCAGCACCCCGGAGCACCGTCTCTGCCCGGGCCGAACAGCAGAGCTGCCCTTTCTGTTCCCAGATGTCGCTCACACACAGAGGCGTACATACCAGCTGACAGGAGAAGTCTACAACTTAGACGTATTACCTGCCCTGTGGATGTTCCCACTGCCATGGTCAAGGCGCCATTGAATTTTAAAGCAGAGATTGTGGGTAAACTGTTGATCCTGGAAGGCAAAACATTCGTGCTCCATGAACACATGGCCAAACCTCCTTCCGAGTAGCAAGTTCATTATTCAGTTCACTGCGGACCTATTGGGGAACACCACACTCTAGCCTTCGTTCTCACGGTATCTACATCTAAACTTTCATCATCAAATAAAAAATATGCTTCGCATACAAATGTAACCCACATTTATCGTCCATTTCAAATAAGCCACGATAAAGTATATCCAAGAAACGGCCCCTCTTCTTATTTAAGAGGCAATAATTATATCCCCTTTCTTAAACAATTTTATATTTGGGCACGAGTACGCTCATCTTCATTTTAAATCAGACAAGTCCAGCTGAAATAAAACTTTAATTGCCGATGGACAGGCAATAATGCAGTGGGGCACAACGGGATTCCCATGGGCTTCCTGGGTTTGTGTCTGGGGCCTCCCTGAGCTCATGAGGAGCAAGGACAGGTGCCTATGAACCACGCTTATGCAGACGGGGCCTCCCTGAGCTCCCAAGGAGCAGGGACAGGTGCCTGGGAACCACGCTCATGCAGACAGGGCTTCCCTGAGCCCACCAGGAGCAGGGACAGGTGCCCGGGAACCACGCTCATGCAGACGGGGCCTCCCTGAGCTCCCGAGGAGCAGGGACAGGTGCCTGTGAACCATGCTCATGCAGACGGGGCCTCCCTGAGCTCATGAGGAGCACGGACAGGTGCCTAGGAACCACGCTCATGCAGACGGGGCCTCCCTGAGCTCACCAGGAGCAGGGACAGGTGCCCGGGAACCAGGCTGATGGAGACAGGGATGGGTTGCTGTGAGAACCCTATTTGGGGTTTCTCTGGCTCACTCACTCTCTCATGGAAGAAATAAACTAAAACAAAACAAAACAAAACAACCCCACTGGCACCCAAATGAGGACCCTGAGGCCTTTAAAAGCATGAAAGACTCGGACAGCAGGGCTGCAACACTGGTGCAGACCAGAGCGACCCCGAGCCACTCGTCCGAGGACCAGAACCCAAAGCAGTGACTTGGGGCAGGCGTGCTGGCCGACGAGCTAGAAGTGCACCACAGTCCTGCCTCAATCCCGACTGTCCTGTGTCATCATCCAGTCTCTTCTGCCACCTACAGCCCCAGCCAGCAACTACGTGGAAGGACGCATCTACTGGGGGCCTCGAGGCCTCACAGCCACGGAGCTTCCGTCACTCACTCTTCAAACGAGCTCTGGAGTCACTTTCCAGTACAGTGACATATTTTTCTCTACTTCTGAATAAAAGTTTGCTTCTGAATAAAATTTTGGCCTCTTCTTCAGACAGGCACTTAGTAAATTTATCCCTCGGTACTTCACAATTTTGACTGTTATAAACTAGAACTTTTGACCACTATATTTTCCCAACTGGATATTGTTGATAAATACCAGTCACGGATTTTGCAGTTATTCTGTAACCATTTTATTAGCTCTCATGTTAGGTCCTACAGTTGGTGAATAAAGACAGCCTGCCCGCCTAACCACCCCCCGTATCTCTTTTTCTTACTGTTGTGGCTCCACCTTCCAGAACTTTGTTAAACACCACTAGCTTATAAGACTTTAAGGAAAAAAAAAATAATAAAACAAGTGAAACTACATGAAATAGCAAAAAATACTACTTCTAACATTTTGGTATCCAACCCTATTTCTTCCTATGTACATACTTAGGGGTCCCAGCCCCGGCGGCTTGAAAAACATGCTGAGGGGGTAAGCCTGCGTACCCCAAATCCTTACAGAATGGAGAAATGGAGGAGAAGGAATTGTGTTTTTCTTAAAAAATGTGATCAAACTCCACAGGCGACTATATGATATGCTTAATCTGAGGGGCCATCAGGTGGCACGCTGGTTAAGGCACTCGACTCCCGCATGGTCACAGCCGTCTGCGTCCCGGTGGCTTGCGGTCTCATTCGCTTTCTCCTAGCTTTCTACCTCTCCCCCTCTCCTTCTGCCTCTCTCTGATGAGTGCATATCGCCTATAGCAAATTAAAAAGCAGTAATAATAAATACAATTGAATAAATCATTTCTTAAAAGACACATCTGAAACATCTTTCTCGGGACCAGCAGATGGCATAATGGCTATGTCACTGGACTCCCATGTAGTTGACCGTGGTTCGAGTCCCGGACCAGGTGGGTTAAACTCACGCCAGGCGCGTGTGTGTGAGTACCCAAGATCCAGAGAGGAGAATTGAAGAGAAGGGATTGCGGCATGGCCATCACCCCCAGGGGCAGTGGTGGTCTTTCCCTTTCTGTCTGTCTCTGTCTTTCTGGCGAGTGCAAGCGCCCTACAGCAAAAACCTCTCCTGAAAGAAAAAAAAAAAAAAAGAAACATCTTTCTCTAGTAATAACTATATTTGCAGCATAATTCTGTTTTTCATGTGTGGTGTATTGCTGTGTGTGTGTGTATGTGTGTGTATATGCAGTATTCTAAATACTATGTTGCAATCTTCCTGCTTCAGCTTCCTAAGCAGCTGGGACCACAGGTGCCCACACTGCCCCAGCTTTCTAGGGTAAACCAGAAATCGAACCAGGTCTCCCATGTGACCTCGGCCTGCCTGATCGCAGAGTACAGGCCATACCACCACGGCCCAGCCTGCAACATCACCTTTTTGGCAACTGCCAGAGGGCATATGCACTCACCGGAGAGAGAGGAAGAAAGCACTCAGCACAGGGCACAGTCAGGCCGCAATCCCTTTTCCGCCACCGCACCCTGCCAGGGTTCTGGGCACACACACACACACACGCACACGGCATGTTTTCAAAGCTGCCAGGTGAAGGGCCAACTGGTGTGAAGGTTGGGGTGCTAGATACCACATGACCAGCTGTGTGGCGTGAATCCCAGACCCAGCAGTTTAAAAGCTACACTGGGCACATATGCATGCAGGCCCAAAATCCCGAGAGGAGGAGGAGAAGAAGGCACTGCAGCGTGGCCATGGCCATCCCCCACTCCTGGGTGTGGGTAATTTCTCACTTTCCGTCTCTCTCTCTCTGGTGAGCACACACGTGCCCTACAGCAACAAAAAACAAAGCAGCAGGTCCAGAATTTGAACTGCACGATCAGGCACATGGGACCCAGTTTTCCTTAACCACCAAGTCACAGAGCTGGCCGGGGACTTTGACATCTTAATTCAACAGGTCAGCGCCTACTTTATTTTAGAGGTTTCCATCCTCCAAGCATGCATCACTTTTCTGATTGTTTTAAATGCAGGTGTTAGGCAAATAGGAGCAAGAAAACTCCAAAGCACTTGCTTCTTCTATCTAAATCCAAAGCACACGTTTGCCTAGTCACAGAGAAGGTCAATTTCTGACTCTACCACTAGAACCTACAGAACTGGAATCTGAATGCCTGCAGCGTATTTGTTTTAGTAAGCTCCACAGCAACTAAGGAAACAAGGCATTCTACCCAGCACTGTAGAAAGGAAGGCTGGAGCCGTAAACTCGTAGTTAAGAGCACCAGATCCCACATGGCCAGCCCAGCTTGGTCCTAGCCCTGGTGGCTTGAAAAACATGCTGAGGGGCTATGCCTGCACACCCCAAATCCTGACAAGATGGAGAAATGGAGAAGGAATTGTGGCATCACCACACCCCACAAGAGGGTGCCTTCTCCCACTCCCTCTTTCTGACAAGTGCACAAGACCTCTGGCAATTAAAAAATAAAACCAAACAGGGACCAGCAGTTAATGTAATGGCTATGTCGCTGGACTCCCATGTAGTCAACCACAGTGTGCGTCCTGGACCCAGTGGCTTAAACTCACATCGGGCACGTGTGCATGCGTGCCCAAAATCCCGAGAGGAGAATGGAGGAGAAGGGATTGCATCATGGCCACCCCCCCTGCGGGGTGATTTCTCGCTTTCTATCTATCTGTCTCTCTCGGTCCGGCAAGCGTACACGCCCCATAGCGAAAACCTCTCAAAAAGAAAATAAATAAAATTAAAATTTTTTTTAAAATTAAAATAAATAAATAAATAAAACAAAACAAAGAAAGAGGGCCCAACAGGTGGCATAGCGGTGTGGTTTGAGTCCCAGACACCCCTGGCAGCTTGAAATCACATTGGGCGCATGTGTGCGTGCCCAGGATGCCAGGAGTAGAATGGACAAGGGACTGCAGTGCGGCCATCCCCATGGGACTGATTTCTCACTTTCTCTCTCACCGTCTCTCTCCAGCGAGCACACGCACCATATGGCAAAAACAAGAGACCAATCAATAAAACCAAAGAAAGAGTTCTATCTCGTTTACCCATTGATGAGCTTGGATGTTTATGTAAAACAACAAAAAGGACAACTTCAGATATACTTTAAGAGTTTCATCCTTTAGCAATTTATTTGAATTTGGTATTATACTTCTACTTAAGTTGGTGGAGGAGTATTAACACTGCGAACTGATTCCCACTTACTCTGAATCCGCTGTGACACTACTTAATGCGCAGTCCAGAAGGCCCACTCTGTTTCGAGTTCTTGGGTCCCAGCACTCCACTCGACCCTGAAAAAAAAGAAAACTATAATAAACAGTGCTACCAGAAAAAAGTTTAAAACATACAAAAAGAAGCCTTATTAATACTAATTATCAGGACTAGCAGTTGGTGTAATGGCTGTCTCTGGACTCCCATGTTGTCAACCGCAGTTCGAGTCCCAGACCTGGTGGCTTAAACTCACGCCGGGCACATGTGTGTGCATGCCCAAGATCCCGAGAGGAGAATGGAAGAGAAGGGATTGTGCCATGGCCAGCCCCCCTGAGGGGGTGATTTCTCGCTTTCTGTTTCTCTGTCTCTCTCTGTCTTTCTGGTGAGCACACATGCCCTTTAGCAAAAACCTCTTTAAAAAAATACTTGTGGGGAACAAAAATTTAACTTTTTCTCTTATACATATTTTAGTACTGCTTGAATGTTTTACTATGAGCTGAATTTCTTCTATAATTAAAAAGAGGGCCAGGGACCAACAGTGGTGTGGTGGTGTGGTGGTTAAAGACACTGGACTCCCACACAGCCGACTGCAAGTTCGAGTCCTATACCTGGTGACTTCTTTTCTTACTTTTTCTGTCTCTTTCTGGTGAGTGTACTTGCCCTATGGCAAATTTTTAAAATAATAATAAATTAAGTAAGTAATTACAAAAAGGGGGAGGAGCTGGTTCCATACTGAGCAGTCAAGGGAGCTAGAGCCCATGTGGTGACTGCATGGTTCAAAGCCCGGCTTTGGTGGTTTGAAAGACAGGCTAGGTTCATGTGCATGCCCCAAACCTGAACAGAGTAAAGAAGTACGTGCCCAAAATCCTGACAGGAGAAGTAGAGGAGAAGGAACTGCAGTGTGGCCATCCCTCCTGGGGGTGATTTCTTGCTTTCCTCGCTCTCTCTGCCTCTCTACAGTGAATGCACAAGCCCTTATAGCAGACTATAAAACATGTCAGAAGAGGGGGGCCTGTAGGTGGCATGGGGGTTAAGGGTGCTGGACTCCCACATGGCTGACCACAGTGCAAGTCCTGGACCTTGCGACTTGCTTTCTCTTTCCACCTCTCTCTGTCTCTCTGTCTCTTTCTCTCTCTCTGTCCCTATCTGGTCAAATTAAAATAAAATAAATACAGTTTAATAAAAGAATTCTTAAAAAAACATTTCAGAAGGAAAAATTCCATCATCACTAAACATAATGCAAACATTTTAAAAAATCAGGCTGACGTGAACTTACCTCTATTGTTCCTGTAGCAAATAAGCCATGCACTGAATTTATGTCACAAACATTGTTCTCCCTGAATGGGCAACGTGGTAAGAGAGAAAACCTTAGTTAGTGTCGACTTTAGTGAGCAGGGGCACTCAATAAACTAAGGAATCGGTCCCCCCGATCCCTGCGGGGGAAGACCTGAGTCTCGCACTGCCTGCAAGTGAAAAGTACCCGAGCGGAGAAGGGCCAGGTGCTGGGCTCGGGGGCAGCTGGCGTTTCTGGTCTCCAGGAGGGTGTGCTCTATGCCAGGCCACAGCCAAACAAGGAAGAACTTCCTCTGAACAGCTGCCCGCCACCACGAGCAGGGTCACTTCGTTTCTGTCAACACGTTTTCTTTGAAGGGCAAGCTGGCACTATTTAAAGAGCACAGGCCACAGCTCTGACAATGTGGAGACCGCATCAACCCGAGCTGGTACACTGACATCGGCCTCATGTCCTGAAAATGCTCACCAAGGTCCAGAATACAAGGACACTCAAGGAACAACTGTAATTATGAAAAACAGGGAATTGTGCAGCTGGCGAGCCGGACTTTTTTATGCCGCAATGCGTTGTGAAGCTGCTACGAGCCTCTTTAAGGAAGATGC